AAGTCCATTTGAAATTTGGTGGCCTGAGAAAAATTTTATACACGCGGAAAGTCGACCCACCGACCTCCCGCGCTCTGAGCGGGCACGCTACCGACCGAGCCATAGAGTCGCGAAACGGATTAGCGCTCCAGGGATCGAATCATTCTACGCTGTCGCTGACTGGCGTCGCTCCTTGTCTCCCGTAATACAGGACCGACTTTGAACGCGCAGTGGAGAAGACGGGCGGGCGGCCGAGCGCGCTAATTCGTGCTCGTGTCAAACTGCTCGCCCGAGATTCGACTCCCGGCTAGGGCAGATATATATTTTATCTCCTTCACTTCTGTGGCAGCTGAGGTTGCTCAATTGTGACCAGTCTTAAACTGTCTGCGGTTCGACTCCCGGCCAGCGCATGTTTTTGCCGCTTTTCGTCCCCCGTAATGCAGGACCGAGGTTTGGACGCAGAAAGCAGAAGACGAACGGACAGCCGAGCGCACTAAAGTATCATCGTCTGAGATCATGCGCCCGGGGTTCGACTCCCGGCCAGCGCAAATAATTTTTTTTTCGTCGCTTCTTGTCTCCTGTAAGACGGAAATATTGGGTGGGAAAGGCTCGAAAAAATGTGGGATGAACGTTATTCGAACCACCGTCCACGCCCTAAGCGACGAAAAGCGGTAAAAAAAAATACAAAAAAAAATACAAAAAAATAATAATGTGGGAATGGAGAAGGATGATGCTTGACAGATCTATTATGCAATTTCGTAAATTTAATTTCATTTTCTAATTATCAGCTTGAATAGAAACAGTTTGAACTTTGTGTAACATTTACCTGTGATAAAACAAGGATGTAAGACTTGGCAAACATACAGATGATGGCACACTTTTCAAATATAAACAGCTGCATTCAGAACGCTTATCTTTTAATTATTGACTAGCACAAAGTCATGCAAATGACGGGCAATAAGCTTTAAGTTGATCTTAAAATACAAAAAACACAAACAGGATGAATTGGATTGCCTCAGCGCAATTAGCATACATATCGATACATATTTATTTTAACAGTTCTCAATCGACAGAATATCAATATAACAGTCCTTAAGTCTATTGAACTTTTACCATAGCTGTTCAAACAACATAAGATTTTCAGAGAACCAATACACGGGTATTTGTTATAAGTAAGTAATATCACAACATAAGCATGAATAGGAGAATATAAAACTGTAATGCATATGTAAAACTCAATCAGCTTTATAAAACTGAATCTCACTACCTCCTTGTTAAAAAAACAAACAAACAAAAAACACACTCTTGCACTAGGTCACAAATGCAAAAGGAATTCCAAATACCTAACAACAGTATAGTGTACACATCACAACTTTCTTCACGCATGAAATACAGGTTGTCAGAAAATTATTCACAATCTCAGGGTTGTTGAATGTTACTACTTCACTTGCATGTCACCAACTCTTGTGATTTAGGTCTTGATAGACCTGTACGAACATTCAATCTACTACTCTTCAATAGGAGAATAATTTGCCTAATAAAGCAAAGAAAAGCACTTTAGGAGGCAAAGTGAGCACGCGTTTCTTTGGAGTCCCTCCTCAATCTATAATTAATCAAAAAATATTTACTATGGGCTATACAGTTCCTCTCAATTTAACAGTAAATTTAATGTTTCATATTTAAAAGTTAGATAATTTAAAAGCTTATGGTTACTTTTAAACTAGTACAAGTTCCTTTTTTGAAAAGATCTACTCAGTTCTTACAGCCCTCAGTGACTAGCATGGCTGATGATAACTTTTAATGGACCACAAAGACTTTAACAATTTTAGTGTCAGATAATCAGTTCGTGTTTATTGTCACTGAAATGTCTTGAGATGAGTCAATAGTTGTTATGTGATCTGCATACCAATTTCTTTAGAAAATAAAGTGTCCCAAATTAAAAATCACAAATCATTGGACATTAACGGTACATACTAAATCAAGAACAAAAATATCTACAAAAGAATACATTCAAAACAAGACATTCAAAAAACAAAACACAAAACTAACAAAAGTAACAGTGTTCATTAAATAATTGAATTCCCTACAGCCAGATTTTTGTGTAACAATGAATCAATGTCTGAAAGACAATGATACCCTAGATGAATAAACCACAGCACTAATTAATTTAAAACTCCTGCCTAAAATGTAAGATTGGTACACACAGTAGACAGGGGAGATGTATTAGGTAAACTCAAGGGCTAACTACTTACTGAACCAATTACTTCTTCGTGCCTGGTGTGCAGGCAATATTGTGAACCAGGATATTCATCAATCCAACACACGCAGTGTTTCTAAAATCCACGCAGACCAGGAGACTTTTAAAGAAATATCAAAATGGATGTGATGCATCTCTTAGTAGCATTAAGGAAGCACAAAACAAATATCAACAATTTGACCTGTGCACCTGTGCACAACCTGTGAACAACATCATGCGGAAATTCTCACAGATTTGGCCCACAGTTAAGAGGAATAAACTTCTGTTCTAGACTCTAGAATAAACTGGGCACAATAAGCACATTCACATGCCTTTAACCCCTAAGAGGTTCAAGAGTCAGAGTCTCAACGAGTTGATTATAGCATAGCAGCAGTCATACATAGTAAAACTATTCTAGAAATGCTCATATCTTATAGACACGCCAATGTTGTTACTGAAATACTATATGAGCACAGCTCTTAATAGAAATACATTTCATAATGTGATAAAACTGTAACATCAATCAGCTCAAAACATTTAAAGACGCTGCAAAGAAAACAATTGCTTTGAACAAGGACGCAGAAAGGCATAAAATAAGTTCACTGTAGTGGTGTATCTGTATCAAGCAAAAAACTCCTTCTTTGGAGTAAGTTGACACTCAATTTGCTCTCTCCTGTGTGCTTCAGCACGCTGAAAAAAAGATATCAAACAATGATGTAAAATAACTAGCTTCACTCAATATGATCAAGAGTAAAAGGGCACATTTTGAGATAATTGACAGACCTCTTCAATCTCTTTCATCACAGATTGCTTTTCTCTTTGAAGCTCAACTTGAAGGTCCTCTTTTCTCTTCTTCAAAATTGTTTCAAGTTGCCGATGGTCTTCCATAAACTTCTTCATATTAGTTTGTTTCTTTTCACGTAAAATACTATCTTTTTCTGTTTTACTCTTAAGAGTTTTATCATTGTTGACTTCTCTTGTTGTCTCAACTGATATCTTTGCCTGTTTTTGATTCAATTGTTTGATTTCTCTAAAAGTAATAATTAAAAGATTAAAGAAAAGCATTTTTTTTTTTAATTTTTTAGAATAAATGCAGTACTTTAAGTAAATTAACTTGAGGTAGAAGTGGCATACCGTTCACGCTGTGCTTCTTGCTGCTTAACTTTGGCACACTGTGCTGATTCAAGTAAGTCCTTCAGGACATCCTGTTGTTGTAGGAGTTGATGCTTTTTAAGTTCCCACATAGCAGATCGATGCTTTTCTTTTATCTCTGTCCATTGCTTGATTTGCTCAACAATGAGATCACGGATAGCAGGGTCTGAACTCAGCTCATCTTTCGTCTTATAGCTGTAATAAAATTAAGGAAAACCAAGGATGCATAATGTAGTGACAAGTACACGTGTGCAGTGTTAATAATAGTTACCTTTTGCCTTTGGTAATTTTTTCTACAGCCAAGCACTGAGTTTTCTGCACAGACTGCAATTCTTTATACTGCTTTCGTTGTAAGCTGTCTTGCTCTTTTTGATGCTTTTTCAGAAGTTTACTGAAGCTCTTCTCCTTTTCAAGAGAGGCTAATTTAATGGGCTCATCGTTAACTAAAAACAATGGATAATTATAAATGACATTTGTATGTAATCCACAATTGTGGGTTTTTAATTCAGGTTCAAAGTGAAGACAAATTCTCATTTATTAGATGAATAAATAAATTTGTAGTTTCACATACTTACTGTCACTTTTGTCCAAGAGAGCAACCGCACTTGTCACGATAGCAGAGCTGTTGCGACTGACTAGCTTTCCTATTTCTCTTGTACTGCTTGAAGGTACTCCAGCTTCATCCTTACTTCCAGACTTGCTTCCTTTTTTCATTGTATTTCCTGATGCAGCTATTTCATCAGTGTAGCCATTTTTATTTCCTTCCTCATCATCTTCGTCAACTCCCATTTGCTGAATCATTTTAGAGTGTTTCTCACGTTCTGACCGATACTTTAAAGGATTCGACAGAGCATACATTATGTCTGCAAACAAAATTCATAACATATCAAAAGTCATCCTTTGCATAGCTAAGTTACTGAAATTTAAAAATGATGTTTGGTATTCCGCACCCTCATAGCCAGTAGGAACATATATTTTAAGCTGAATGTCACAGAATAGCATGGGTAAAGACATAGGAAAATTGGCCTCTGTTCTCAGGGCAATGTGTCGATATCCTGTTTGTAAACCATCTAACGGTAGGATTCTCTGTCCCAACATTTTTCCTGTTTCATCAAAAACACCAAATCGCAACACAGCCAAATCAGGAAGGACAACCTGCATGGAAATGTGTAATTGAAAGTAATATGAATCAAGAAGAAGAAACACGCCAGACAGTTTATGAAACAAAGAATAGCACAGACCTTTCTAAAGAAAAATGGACTTTCATTATAGCATGGATTCAAGCCGTTTGATGGAACCATGCGAGTTCTGAACTCTTTGCGAATAGTATCGGTAGGTAAGCCATACATATCAACCTCTACATAAGTACCAACTTTTTTGTCTGATAAAAATTGTCCTGAGATGACCTGTCAGAACAGTTAACTAATTAAAAGAAAAGTTGTACCTTGTATCACAATTACATATAAAAATGCACTCTATCAATGCATTTTTATGTAAGAGTGGGGAAAAATAGAAGAGAAAAGATGAAAAACAAAACTTTGTTTATAAACATACCTGTACAGAACACTGAGCTGCAATAACTCCATCAACAGTAGTTTCAGCAAAGGGGTCAAAAACTTTATCTTCTCTCCTCATGAAATCAGGCTTTAATAAATATCCACAATTTCCGTTATACTCAAATTTGCCTTGATTTAGCTGCATAGCTAAATCAGGAGTTTGAAAGTTTAACGCCACCATTTGACATCCAGCATTCCAAAACACCTTCAAAAGATTTTGTTGTTATGATTTCATAACATTGAAGGTATGGTATGTATTTTTACTTACAGAAAAAGCAGGGCACCAAACATACCTGAGGTAAAAAGTTAGTTGACTCAAGCCTTGTACCCCGTGGATATATCCTGCTCATTTGACGTTTATTGTACTGAACAAACTCAATAGCTTGGGATTTAAGGTAAGAGAGCCCATTTGTTTCATTAAAAGATGACATATTGTAGTGAAAATTATTTTCTAAAATAAAAATCAAAACCAGAAAATTATGGAAGAAGTACACATTAACAATATACACACTGCACCATGGGTTGACTGGGACATTGTGGGTAATTTGGACCACCTCCGTACAGCCATACCTATGAGGTCAATGACTTGCATTATTCATATTTCTATATTTGTAAACCTCACTAGTAGGTGGCAACATAAGTCAAGAAATAGCAGTATATGACAGGTGGTCCAAATTATCCGATCCAAAGAAAGCCACTAATGAGGGTATCTACAATGTTAAGTTATGCACAAAACAGTCATAGATGAAATTACTGGTAAGACAAAACTGTAGTTCATTGCACAAAACATGGATGCACAAGCTATTTTAAATAAGATGGGACACAACACTTACTTTCTGCAACATCAAATCCTTGAAATTTTACAGGTTGGGCATAATTAACCATGGAGGATAGCCAGGGGTGAACACGCGTGGTTGAGCCAGTATAATGTGTTGGGATTGGTACACCCTCAAGTACATCAGGGACCTAAATAGATACAAGGTAAAACAAAGGAATTGTTAGTAGAGAAAATATTGTTGACAGTGAAGAAATAGCCACCGCTTGGCTCTGAGCAAATATCCAGATTGAGTTCAGAGCTGAATTGGGGAGCAGAAAAAGATGTTCTGGTATGAGGTGGGCGTTTCTCCTGTGATCAATGTTTTTCTCTAATAACACGAGAAAAAAAAACTACAGGCCAAACAGGTTTTGATTAACTGGGTATCAGATAATACATGATACTAACAGAGGATACAGGATGGTGTTTACCATCAAACACACTACAGTATTTACACTGAACCATTACAACCTTATATTTTAAGTCTCAGACAAAATGTAAAGCAAAGCATCAGGTAGCATAAGGTGCATTTCATAGTTTCACAAAAAAAAAAAAAATAACTGGAAAATTTGAGAAAACCTGCTACTTTAAGCATAAAGGCATGAATATGTTTGGTAAAAAAATGTACTTAATAGCATCTCATCATTAAAGTAGAGTTTCCTGTTCAAACTCAGAGCAACCAGAAATTCTTAAAACAGGATATGCATACACATTGCTTTAATTGTTCGGAGTGTAAAACTTTTTCAAGCAAAACACGCAAGCAAGATCAAAACCCCATAAGGTGAATATCATAAAAAGAGTAGAATAGATAGATAAAAACAAACTTTTACTTTTAACACCTAACCTCTACGCTAAGGTCAAAAATCACAATTTCTGCAAGGCTAAAAGGCAAGCAATACTGTTCTACATTGCAGAATAGTCATACATAATTTATATCAAGCTAAAAAAACTTCAGGATAGATTTGGCGCCTTCATCATGCACAAAGATAAATAAATAGGTATCAGCAAAAGGTAATTAAGTAATTGACCAAATTAGTCACCTTCTTGTCAATGGAAGTGCTTAAAGGCACAGAAACGTCATCTTTATCCCCTTCAATTAACATTAATTCACCTTTCATGTATAAATCTAAATCATCTTGACCCGAATTTTTCTCCAATCTTTTGCTTTCCACTAAAATTTTTCGCTGTAAAGGAACATTGCTTTTCTAATAGACATTATCTGCAGTTTGAAGGTTTTGAAGACTTTTAGTGGATTAGTAACTCACTTAAAATGGATAAAAGAACACGTAAAAATTTCCAATGGTAAGGTATGTGTTTACCTTTTTGTCCAATGATATGACAGTTGGAGCTGAAGCATCAGAATCTTCTTTCTCACCATCATCATCATTAAGTTTTCCAGCTTTAAACTTTTCTAATCCTTCCTTTTCCTTTTCGGGATCAAGCCTTTTGTTTTTAATTAATATTTTATTTTTTAATGCATTGGGCGACGGTAATATTGCACCAGGTAGTATCTACAAAAAACAGATTTAAACATTTTCAAATAACTTAATTTTGAGTAATTATGTATTGGTGTACTTTATTTTAACTAATTGGAAACAAAGAAAGCTATTGCGCGAGAAATTAACATTACTGGAAAATCTTTCAATGGTTCTTTCAGAAGTAGATCACCAAAGACATCATCACAACATTTTGCCACAATATACTGCTGAGATATTCGGCAATGGTTTTCAAAGGAAAGGATTACAGGGTATTCAGATGTTTCAAAAGCAGTATCCTTGATGGCATGAATGGCCTCCTAAAGAATAACAAACAAAAATTTATTGGCAAATTAAATTTTAACTTCAGAAGGGCTCTGATTTCACTTTGAATTAATAGACGGTCAGTAATTGTTCTCACCCTGAAAGGAATAGCTGTGCACATTGCTTTCCCATGTGTTATGATTGGTTCTCCACCATTTTCTCCATTCCAAAGATCCAATTCAATGCACCTGAAAATGACACACTCCGCTTACTTTAATTGGGCTAATTTATCTACATCATGACAAAACTGAGGTAATGAAGTTGCCAACAACAGAACAATGAAACTACACAAGACGTACCTACAACCTGCAAGTAAAATTTGCCTATACATTTCGACACTTGACTTCCCATAGAACTGCCGTCCTGTTAAGTAAGTATTGTGGGATGAATTGATGTAATAATGAGCCAATGGCTGATCCATATTCATATATACGTCTAGACGATCAAGAAACACAGGTGCATTTTCATCCGACATCAAGTATCTTGTAAACCCATCTTTGGAGAGCATTTCTGTAAAAATAAGAGTGCACTGATTTAACAGGTCAGTGTGTTCCAAAAGCTGAAATGTATAAATGCTTACTACTAAACTTACTTGCTTTCTTATTTTTCTCATCCTGTTCATAAGTGCTGATTATTTGCATTGCTCGTGCTTCATTGTACATAGGATACAGAACTTCATTCAATCTGGGGTCTCTTTGTTTCTCATTTAAAAACTTAACAAACTGTGCGACATTAATAAACTCTCCATCTTCTGTTCTGTAAATGTAAATAAACAATTGCTCTTTACCAAATGCTTAAACAAATGGAGGCACAGATATATAACAGATTTAACACATTGCAGGTTTATTAGGAAAATTGTATGGTTCTGAACATTCTAGATCATATTGATAAATACTCACATGGCATTGAAGAGGTCTCCTATATCATCCGTTCTAGGACAAATTTTGTGGTAGAGAGTGTAAAACTTTTCAAAAGTAAAATCTTTTGGCTCAATGAAATCATTCTGAAATTTTGAGCGGTTTAGTAGAACAAGAAATACATGATATTTTAAAGACAAAATGCACAAGAATACTTACCTTTCCCTTCTCAGTTTTATTACGCAGTTCTAGATCATCAAGATACTTGATTACATCTCTTGTATCCCTTCGACCAGATGCAAATGTTTTGACTACTCTGTTCACGGGAACTTTTCCCAAAGGATCCGTTTTCATACACAACTGCATCCAACTGAAATTGAATGGGAATAGATTAAAATAAACCCAAGGAACACTGGGGAAATGTGGTATCTTGGACAGAAAATTGCTTGTGTAAATGAAAAAGTAGGAACAGCACTTAGTTAACAACCATGCGTAAATATATTTTTCATGCACTGAAAACATGCATTTAAAAAATGTTTAATGGCACTTTCCTACATCTATGTAGGAATTTTGGTACTTCCCCACATTTTTCATGCATCTGTAGTATAGGAAAACATCAGGTAATTAAAGTATTATTTAATGAACCTGCCCTCTCAATGATTGTGTAACTCTAGCACCAGTGATAAAAGCACATTGTATAGAAGATGTCTCAAACTGAAGTTATGTTTATATCAAAAACTTACTGTTTCATGAGGTTGGTTGAAACACAGACGTTGTTCATTTTGTTGTTGTGAGTTATCTTCCTTAGGCCATTCTGCCACTCCTAGTATTTGACATCGATCCCCAAGCGCAACAGAAAAGGAACAAAAACACAACTCAAGCAATTTCATGCAGTAGTAGCAAATTAAAGCTATCAAATACGACAAGTTCTCTCACAACTGTTTTGATTGTTCCTTTTTTTCTATTTGTTCAAAGAAAGGCTTGCAGGTGAAAAAGCTATCCAAAATAACTACAGATATTGATAAGCAAGTAAAACTACATAATGCAACACTTTAAGTTTGTTACAGAACTGGATAACAAAGTGGAGACAACATTTTTGTGCATACTACAGTACCAAGCACTGGTTTTAGCATACAAATCACAAAAATCTGTACTAACAAATACGTCATTTGAAGAAGAAGAAGACCAAAGATTTTAAGTTCTTTGAATGTGATATCTGAGGCTGCAGGATGACAGGAGGGTTACCGTTCCAGTTGTGAATTTTGGAAAACATGTATGGTTTATAATTATTTAAGAAAATAGCAGAAAATTTGACTGAACACAGTGCTTATTAAATTACAAATGTGTAAGTTGTGTGTGTGTGTGCGCTTATTTTTCCTTTCTGATGTCAAGTACTGCCTGGTGGAAAGTATCTTGCATACAAACATAAGAATATGGGTGTAGGTAGTGAGAAAAACAGAAGTACTTAGAATAGACATTAAAATAAGAACAACAGTAAGTGAAAAAAAGAATAAGTTTTGAGTTTTACGCAAAATAGAAAATTATACAATTTCATGCAGAGCACATGTGTTATGTCACAGAGAGTAAACCCAGATTTTTGGCAGGCAATATTCCGAAAGGAATAATTTATGTAGCCAAAATGAAGCAAGCAAGAAAATTTGAACTTCACTACTGTCCACTTACTGTTTCTTGAGACATGTCATAGGGCAAACATTATTTGCTTTAACATTGTGTGTTATGAGCCGGATACCTTTTAGCCAGTCCTGGAATTTCATGTAATTAAACAAAGTGACACTTGTCACATAAATAAATCTTAGAACTCGCTGATAAAAATGATGTACATGTAGTGAGTTGTGCCTCCTAGACCACAATGAACTATGAAGACAGATAGACTATGATGTCCTGTATGGTTTTAATTACGGTATACAAGTTTCAACCTAAAAATGGCTTACTCATTACTTACAAATACTGTAGTTTGGATAGCTCACATGATTGAGGTCCCTTACTTTAACAGTGTCACTGAGTCTTTTCCCTTAACAACTGCTGCCAATTTTCCGCTCTTATATAGCATAGCCCATTAAGAAAACTTAAAAGATGACAATTATAGTTACAGTCTCGTGTTTTTCACTTAGTATTTAGTTCCACTAAATATTAAATGATGTATAACAAAACAAAAGTGAAAATGAATACTACTCACCTCAGCTATTTTACTATCTGGACACACCACATGGTGATAGTTAATGTTGACATAGTCTCTCCCACTACAAATTGTAAGAACTCTATCTTCAAAAGTACTGTCTCCATAATTGGCTTGCATCTGAGTGTAGAGCTTTGAGTCCTAAAACAGTTGTGAACATGCATTAGCTAGAATATGTAATTACAAAGTATTTCCCTACTGATACAAAAGAAACCACTAACATTTCACTAAAGGTGACATTCACAGATTGCCCAGCAGCACTTGGTAGGTTGTAAACTGATGTTTTAAAGCTACTCTAATATTATTAAAAGTACTACCTAAGAGGGTTCTAATCTATGTTGCTGAGAGGCCTTAGCCACATTTGGCTGCCGTCTCTTTTCTTCCTAGATGTGAAAACTTCCATTCAACTACATAAATAGTGAAGAGATCATGCAACAAGGAGTAGGACATATCACAAGTTATGAAAGGGCTTGGTCTCTGTGTCAATACAATGGACATTTGTGCATGTGCATGGGAACCTTGTTGCACAAACACTCACGTCAGACCAACCATATACATGTAGACAGTTAGCTACCTGTAATCGTATACCAAATGGTAGAAGGGGACACAAATGACCAATGCTTTTCTATACTCTAGCTAGTAGTGATTATTAGACCCTTTCATCAGATAATTATGTCAGAAGGCTCACTAAGTAACATGTACAATACTCCAGGTAGTGACCAAATTTTAAAGAGATTGCAACCAGTCCAAGTGCAGAGATCTAAATCAAATTTAATACCACAGCATACACTGTAAACGAAAATGATAGAAGATTGATACTGATACCTTTGAAATCCCTCCCTTTCGAATATCGCTCACTTGACACAATTCCAGGACATCGCCATCCTAAAACAGAGCATTAGTTGTAGTAAAGCTTTAAAATATTTACAGCAATTCAAAGATGGACAAAATAACATACCCTTCCTTCTTTTTTCCAGTAGATAAAAAAACCATATTCATCAACTTTGAAGAGGCAGTTTTGTTCCAAGCCTTCTTCTTCCGTCCATTTATCAAACTCACAGCCATTGATGAGTACATCAGGCACTTTGATGTGCCAATCAAATTCAAGTTTCTTTGTCATGACTTTCTTTGCCAAAATCAAGCTAAAAATAAATAAAAATTTCAAAATTAGAGGAAAAATCTTTTTAAACACAAAAAGCTCTCTGGAAAAAATGAAAAAATCTGATAAATTCATCAAAAACGGGCAGATGTGCCCATGTGCGGAGGTTCCCCCATGAAAATGATGGCAATTAATGCGGTTGGGCGGTGTGAGGTTGTGTGTCTTCTTCTTAGCGAATCAGGGGTAGGGTGCAGATTACTGAAAATGCCATGAAATTTCCATTTAATAAACCTGCAGTCTTGCATTGCTATTACTCAAGCAGCATAAAAAGATGAATCTGATTATTTAGTTTCTACGCGTTTGTAAGTGCATTTACATTTTAAAGAAAATACGCTTCGCCTAAAATGTGGATTGTTTATTTTCTTTGAGTCACGAGCCTCTACGCAAGTTTCCATCAGACACAACATATCTTTGCAGGTTGTGTCCAGAGATATGCACCCAATAAGCTACTTACGAAGAAGAAGAAACACAACGGGGCATCACCCAACCGCATGTATTGACATTATATTCAATGGGGGAACCTTCACATTCCACATGTCATCCAAATTTATTATATAACATGCAAGTACTTCTTTCTAACGAATACAAGAAAAATCTTTCACCCAAACAAAGAAATAAATATTTTATGGACTCACACAGGCAATATGACACATGGGGATTGTACATAGCTCAGTAGGAAATTAATGAATTTAAACAGATACCATGCTGATAAAAATGCATGATTCTAAGTTAGCACAACGGACCAACATGCACCTGCAACGAAGAAAGAAACAAGTAAAAAATTTAGAGAGCGCATGCAGGTATGTAAATGTCAATGGAGATAAAGAAGCTGCTTAAATTTGAAACAAATATTAAAGTCACTTTTGGGGAGTGGCAAGACGACAATAAAATCTATCAGGACATAAAACATATTTAAAATAATTGCATCAGGCACCAATAAAATTCAGAGAGGTCAGAAAACTTGATCATTAGATTTTCACACAGCAAAACTTTGAACATTGATACTCAAAACATGAAAATTATGATGCATCACAACATTTCCATAGTTAAATACATAAAGATGGACTCATGATGAAAGTAAAGTCTAGGATTACAAAATCTAAACTCAAACCTGCTCAAACTAAATTTGTGCTTGAAGGTATATAGTGTTGACTCGATTATCTTTCAAGAAAAACAAATAACTATTTTAACCTCAACATAACCCATAATTAGTCAGAAACAAAAGCGAATAAAAAACAGTTAAGGTAACAAAATCACTGATGACAAGCAATGAAATAACTTATACAAGAACAGCTATCTAGCTTAATGTGATCAAAGAAACATCAAAGAATGTCAATGACATTTCAATACACAGTCGCGAATAAGATTATATTTCCAGGAACGAAGAGGGGGCCTGGCAAATTTATAAAAGAAAAAGCGTGAAATTTTGTAATGAGCCATAAAAGTTGTTTGATTTTCAGAAATGTATCATAATAAAAGGTTAATATGGCATTTCTACCTGTTGTAAACAAAACAAGGAACAACATTTTGAAAGGTCACATTTACTTACAAAACAAATAAGGCAAGAAAGTCATACTGTATGGGATAGCATGGAATGTTCCTCCGTCATGCGAACCTAGATCGACTGCTTGTTAACGGTCACAAATTGAAATCTAGCAAAATAAATATCCAGCTGTGTACCTGTGTACCTACCTGATAGACCACACGACGACAGCGACTCAGAGAGGGGAGGGGGCACGGAAAGGGGGG